ATAACGTTAATGATCTCTGTCACCAGGAGATGCTTCCAACTGCAAAGGGAACAAAGTGGAAGGCCTATACTCATTGCCTTCAGAACGACAACTAAAAGTCTGAGGTCAATTGTACTGTCATTACATGGAGAGAAATCAGCTGCCTCATGCCCCGAGCGATGCTGAGAGTTCCCTGGGGAGAGACGCTTTTCCTGTGCCTCCTCCTTCCAAGTGTCTTTTTCCTTTACGTTTGTATTACAAAACACACAACGCTCTGGGGAATACCTTGCACAGCCTATTATTAAAGCCACACACATATATCAAATTTGCTCGTCCCAAAAAGTATATGGACAATTAGCTGGCACTTTAGCTGGTTAAAAATACCGCTGATAACAGACAAGTTGTGAACCACCAGACAGCTCCAGGCAGTCATCGCTTCCTACACCCTCCACACCTTCACAGCTGAAGTCGCACGCTTCTCCTCACATTCATAATCACAGGCACCTTATGCAAAGCAATAAATATTTATATATACGTGCAAAATCACACACAGAAGCAGCTCACGAGCCCCCACAGCAGGAAGCAGCGCTAGAACCGAGAGGCTCCCGGTCCTCACGGAGCTGGACAGTGCTGTGGCACGAGCACAAGTTCAGTGCGAAGATGCTGCTCAAGAACACACTCTGCACTGCTGACATCTGGGCTCTGACCAAGAGTTCACTGACTTCACACACTGATCAGGGTATCTCCGGACTAGAAGCACTGCTATCTTACCCAACAACATAACTACCTGTAACCAGTTTACAAGAAAATCTAGTCAAACTCTCCATGAAAGAGTGTGATTCCTCCAGCTCCTATCACAGACTGGTACACAAAATACTTCAGGTAACAGACAAAACTCCTCCCCAACAGACGGAGATCTGCCTGTTCTTTAGGGTTCAGCTACCTATGACAATTAAAAGGGGTCGTCTTTTCTCATTCTAATAATATAACCTAGTCAGCAATAAGTATGTTCAATGCATTTTGCAAAAGTCCAGATAAACTCATATAGACAGGTAAATCTCACCAAGAATTCACACTTTACAAATTCTTCTAAGAGACGACTTATAAATGCTCTGACTGGTGCTCTGTGCCCCAGGTCTTGCTGCGCGGCATTGGAGGATCCTCAGGTGGGAGAAGCTCTGGGAGATCTGCCACAGTGGTGAGTAGGGGCAGTGCTGTGCTGGCGGGGGCTGGTGGGGCAGGGGACAGAGCCTGGGCTCCTGGGGTCTCTGCGGGCAGGGGGGTCACCGCTGCTCTCTTTCCTTCTCTTGCAACCCTCCAGTGCTTGGGCAATGATGTTGAGTTGTTGATCAGGTCCCTGGCAGCTCAGACCATCCTCATCCTGACAGCTCTAAAGCAGAAGCCAAGGTCAGGATGGAGCCTGCGGTCGCTGTGCTGCTGCGCCCGATGAGCTTCGGAGAGGTGCAGTTCTCAGGGAAACGGCCGAACTTCAATAAATCTTTTTTTAAATCAAGCTGGAGCAACAAGCCCAGTCCCATGGTGTCCTTCCCACAGGGACCCCCCGAGCAGTGTCCCTCTGCCACTGTGCCCAGGGCCACACCCCCGCACCCAGGGTGTCCCGCGAGACCACAAAGCCCAGAGAGGAGGAGGAGGAGGGAAGCTTCAGCCCATCCTACCCCTCCCAAGGCGTCTCAGGGCACAAAAAGGCACTCACGTGCAAAGCTGGCACATCACCATCTGTGCCAGCAC